ACACGGGGGTGACATTAACTCCAATGAAAAAAATTTCCTGTTATTTTTCATCGTATGACCAATATCTTATACATATTATATATTTCTATATATAATCGGTAACTTACCGAAAAAAATTTATAAATTTTTACAACCCTTGTAATGCCCAACCCTAATTTAGTCTAACGTTATCGTTATCGTTATAATAATTTAATTTGGCCAGAATTTATATTTATCGAATTTCAAGAAGCTTATAGACTGTTAGAGGAAATAGAAGTGTTATAAATGAGAAAATACATATTTAATGTAGTTTTATTAAATTTGTAATAGATATTCCACGGGCTGTTGTGAATATCATGAATTAGCACGGCGAAGCCGTGGTAATACATGATGTCACGGCACACCGTTGAATATCTGTTATATTTCACGGTCCTATGCCCGTAACATTTCTGATTAAAAATTTTTACTGATGATGTCATGCCCGTGGAATAATTTTTGATATTTTCACGGCATTACATCATCATAAAAATATCATCAGAAATGTTCACGGGCGAACATATAGGGCCGTGGAATATATAGGGATATTCTTATTCTTGATTGATAAAATTTAATAGGTATGATATGAAAAAATTCAGAACATCAGAATGGATTCCTTAACTAGTGAGTTTACAGAAGTGATAAAAAGATACTTTACAACTAAAGTTATTCCTGAAATTCTAATGCGAACTGCACGAAGGATGTATAGAAAATATATCAATACTCCAGGCGAGATTGTGCAAAATGAGGTTTCCAATAATTCGAATCAACAACAAAATTCTCTTATAAATTATGACTTAGAGGCTTGTAATAAAAATTCTCAATTAGGCAAAAGAGTTCGCCATACAGAAGGTTGTTGTTTTTTTAGTAAAGCTTGCTCTAAGCGGAATAGTTGTTCAAAAATTCGTCGTATAGAAGCTTCAAGCTTCACTGAATCCCGTTTTAAACGGATGGATCAATTCAAAAGATATCTTGTGGAATCTCGAATTAATTATCTTCCCCAAGATAATCTCATAGAAGACTATCCCAATGAAACTTTACCTAATTTTAGGAGAACGTCGTCATGTCCTTTTTAATACTGAGTAAAATATTAAAGTACAACAAGAAAGCATGAAAATAAGAATTTATTCTTTAAATGTTTAAATATTTCGCAGAGGGCTTTGTTCGGTAATATGATAAGACCGGAAATTTCGTTTTTTTCAAAAGGTATTTTTACTAACGATTGTCGTAAATAAACCTCGAAAATCACCCAGAGAAGATTAATTCCAATAACCAAACTTTTTTTGAGTTGATAATGATTGCAATAAGATAGCAACATGGCGTAAAAATGGTGCAATATATTTATTTGTCAATGATTTGAATGATTGGATGATTTCTTGTAATTAATCATGTAATTTTTTGACTTGATTTATGAAAGAGCTAGTTTCTCAACTTTTGTCTAAGAGTATTTTATTTGGGTTAAAGTATTCAACTTTAAATTTTGTTCTGAATACTTTCTTTAGAAGCGGAAAAACAAACTAAAACTTAAGCCGCCTTCACCAAAAATCCATTTGAGATTAATGTGTTTTGGAATCATAAAATTAGAAATGTGTACGAAAAGAATTAAACCAAGAAATACATTGAAACGCAATTGATAAATAAAGTTTATTTGAATTATTTTTTGATTCGAATTTGTTTATACATTTTTCAAATATAGTTTTTAGTAAAAATATTTCGAATTTGATTGATGAAGTGGAGACCATTGCCGATTCAACTGAATTATTCTCATAAACTTATTGATTAAATACGTGAATTAAACGTGCACTAATCGTACTGACAACAAAAGATAGATTGTTTCCCTGCAGGAATTAAAATATTAAGTACGAATTAGAATAACGAATGTAAAAATAGAAAGTGTTAAAAGGTTGAGAAGAAGGGATAATTAATTACTCGTAAATGGAATAATCGAAAAAATGTCATTATTAAATTATCCTAAGCACATGGATAGATCATTTAATTATTTTGATGTCTCAATTAAACGTAGAGATGCATACTCCTATTTCGAAAATAATTTAATATAGATTTCTTTAAATAATCTTGAACTCGTTCCATTCTATTTTTTACTTATGTTCTGTAATTTTAATTCGTGCGAACAGTACATAATTAGCTCGCGCAAGAATACAGAATCTAACTTTATAAAAATAATCTTGATCAAATTAACTAATCACGTTGCATATCTCGTTCGCAATATTGATCTTTTTGCAGCTGATGCTGAGAATCGATCATATTTTAATAAGAAACTAGGGTTAGACCGATGTTAAACAACGGGTTAGATTTTCTGATATTTAATGGGTATCGGTGAATACTATAGGTGCGGACATTTGCCAAGCCAAGGGTAATTACCTCCACTCAAACGTCACGGCCATACGTCACATTTTTGACGTGACGTATGTAGTGCCTAGAGGTGCGGACATTTATCAGGTTGAGGATTCATACCTAATATAGTATAGTATAGTATGAGGTATGAACATAGTTGAGTCGGATTAAAATTTATTATCATACTCACGTGTATAGTAAAACTATTATACTGATTATACTTATCTGTAGAATAACTATTCGATAATACTTATCGTTATGTGTAGTATAACGATAATACTTATCGTTATGTGTAGTATAACTAGTGATGTGCCGCGTATAGTACTGTACGCAAAAATTTGAATAGAATATTCTGGAACAAAACATAAAAGTATGTATCGGTATATCTCAAGATCTTGCTTATTAAACTGCCTTTCGTGTTATAATTAACATTGTTTCTTGGAAAATTTTGCATGTAGTTTATTTTATATTTATTGTCCTTACTGTGCTTATTGTAATGCTAGATTATAATGACATTTAAATTTTATATGCTAATTCAGAATTATCTTAAAACACAAACCCGTTAATTATCGTTATTGATAGTTTAATCACGTGAAATATCGTTTTTATTAAAATTCTGCCTAGTTTTTACAAAGATATTTGTCTAAATAGCTAGCTTTAGCTTTTTATCATTTTTGAAATAACGATAACATTTTGAGCATAGAATATTATGATTCTGATAAATACTTTTTAATATAGCAGAGATACTTAACAAGATTCTTATGCTTTTAGATACTAAGTTTAATAATAAGTTTTCTATGCTTAATATGAATATATAATTAATTAATTAATTTTTTTTTATTTAATATACTCCTGACAAATTGGCCAGCTATTTTATATTTCATACTCAATGAATCAAATTAAGATGATTAAGTTTTGTATTTTGATTCTAAAATAAAATAAAATAAATGTTTAACTTTTAATTACTTCTTGTTCATTTTTCTTAACAAATCTTATTCGGATTTTTAAGAATTATCAAAATTCAAAATTATTGTTATCATCATCGTTATGACCAAAATAAAGAAATGCCCAGTATTAACCATTACGTATTCTGCATTCAGCATGATAGCGCAATTTATATAAAAAAAAACAAACTACTTACTGTTACTACTTTTAGCATATTTTATTCATATCGGCATTGTTTTTATATAGCAAAAATGTCAGATGAAGAAGAAATCACTAGCAAATTAGGTCAATTAAGTTTTACTGATTATCAAAAATTGGCAGATAAGAGAGATTCTAAGGGAATATTTATGCTTGGTTATTGTTATGAACATGGAATTGACATTGAAAAGGATTTGTATAAGGCATTCGCACACTATCAAAAATCAGCAGAATTGAATAATTCTAATGGAATGTTTCATTCTGGCTTTTGTTATTATCATGGGATAGGAGTTAAAATAGATAAACACAAAGCATTGGAGCATTACTTAAAATCAGCTGAAATGGGCAATTCTATCGGAATCTTTAAAACTGCCATTTGTTACTATCATGGAATTGGCGTGAAAAAAAATAAAGATAAATATTATAAATGGATTAATAAGTAAGTTTATTCATAATTTTTTTCATAATTTTTTTTTATATTTTAAACATCACTCATACAATTTTAATTATCAGAGAGTAAGTAATGAAATCTGCAATTTAAGTTTATAATATTTTATCTGTTTGTGTTAATTGTCAATTTAGCTCGTGAGTATAAAGAAGATTTATTAACTTTAATCAGTAGAATTAAAAACATGAACATAAATAAATACTTATTGATAAACCAAATACTTATTTACAATTAATTACTCTTCAAATTGTGAGTAATATCAGTGGAATTAAAAACATGAACATAAATAAATACTTATTGATAAACCAAATACTTATTTACAATTAATTATCTTTCAAATAGTTCGTAAGTATAAAAATGATTTATTAATGTTAATCAGTAGAATTAAAATTATAAAAACTAAATACTTATTTACAATTATTTACTCTTCAAATAGTATATAAGTATAAATATGATTTATTAGTGGAATTAAAATCATAAACTTAAATAAATACTTACTGTATTGATAAACTAAATACTTATTTACAATTAATTATTATTTTATTCATTTATTAATAAGTCGGTAAGTATAAAGAAGATTTATTAACTTTAATAAGTGGAATTAAAAGCATGAACATAAATAGTCTGTGAGTATAAAGATGATTTATTAAGGTTAATCAGCAGAATTAAATACATGAACATAAATAAATACTTATTGATAAACTAAAAAATACTTATTTACAATTAATTACTCTTCAAATAGTCTGTGAGTATAAAGATGATTTATTAAGGTTAATCAGCGGAATTAAAAACATGAACATAAATAATTACTTATTGATAAACTAAATACTTATTTACAATTAATTACTCTTCAAATAGCGAGTGAGTATAAAGATGATTACTGACGTTAATCAGTGGAATTAAAAACATGAACATAAATAAATACTTATCGTTATTGATAAACCAAATACTTATTTACAATTAATTACTCTTCAAATAGTAAGTATAAAGATGATTTATTAATGTTAATCAGTGGAATTAGAATCATAAACATAAATAAATACTTATTGATAAACTAAATACTTATTTACAACTAATTATCATTTCATTCATTCATTAATTTAGTTGGTGAGTATAATTTTCAAAGTCACAATAGATTTTAAAATATATAATAATAATAATTATATTATTACAAAGGAATTCTAAACACAGCAAATGCGAAATTTGTAAAGAAAATAACACTCAACCAGCATGGTGTCTGACATGTGATCCCGACATCACTTTTAACAATATCAGCTAAAAATTGGAAATTTTTATGATGAATCCATGTTTCTCCAACTAAATTCAAAATATGAGCTAAGCAATGATTATGTCTTAATTGCGGAATTAATAAAGATATAATTTGAAAAGCTTTTAGCATATATGCTGCATTATTAGTAATAAAAAAAATAAGATTTTCAAATAAAATATTATAAGATTGTAAAGTTTTTATCACCAATTGAGCGATTGAGGTACTATCAACAGTGGTAATAAATTCTGTTCTAACGAGTTTAGTTTGATTATTAAAACTGAACAATATATTAACAACTGCTCTGCTACATGCATCCGTAGTTTTATCAATGGTAATAGAAATTCGTTTATCTCTTAAAAGATCCTGTAATTTTAATATCTCCATATCGAACACCTTTGGTAAATATTTAATGCGAAGTTGATTCGAAGTCACAATAGCACCACCTAAATAAAATCATACATATACATTAAATTAATTTTTAATAAATAAAAAATTTACCATTTCTACAATATTCAAAAAAAAAATCTTTAAGCTTATCAATTTTTTGTAAAGGAATATCAGCTTTAGCAAGTGCATATACTAAATCAATATTAATAAGTTCTTGTTCATTCGAGTTACTACTAGCTGTGTCAAGAGTTGTTTGACGGGTTAGTTTTAATTTTTTTAGCTTTATTAACATTATTTTTATGTTTATCTGATCTTAAATGCAAATCTAAGATAGATTTTTTTGTATAGTCTACAACATGTTGACAAAATATACAAAACAGTTTTCGACCATCTACATAAAAAATTTTTTTATATTCTGAATTTTCAAGTCTACGATCTTCAGGAGAAACTATCGTTAGTATTCATCAGAAAGT